GGGCAACCGGTGCCCTTCATTTCATATTCACGCTCGCCGCCCGCTATTCGCATCCTTTACTGCCGATATTCCTTCACCACACTGTCCCGCAGTTTCCATTAGCGTTGCATTCAACACTGATATTCTAATTGATATAGGGAGACCACATATCAATCCAAAAAAACTACTGTATGTGTGATACCTGCTTCTCCATATTCTAAATGCCTGTTTGCCTTAAGATATATACCGCGTTCTTCAACTTGCCCACAATAATTTAGCCATGCGTGTATATTAAGTGCTTAACTTACTCTTTCAGCGTTCCATACTCAGGAAGATGTTTCAGGCAGGTTGCTTAAACATATATATTGCTCTAGACGTTGTCAGCCGGTACAAGTACGCATCCCCCATCCCGTCCTCAGTAATCTTATTTAAGGTCGTTTATTTGCTTGACTGCTTCTAAAGGCAGTCGACGCTAGAAAAATGTGCATCAATGCAAAATAACTAAAGAAAATAAAGCTGCGTTAACTAGTTGTGTTATAAATCAAGAAAGAGCAATCTCCCCGACTGCCTAATGGCATCGTCCCAATCCGTTTGGACCAAGTGCTAATTAGCACAGAGACAGAATCAAGAACATCAAGGCAAACAAACATACGCACAAAAAACACAGAAAAGCTGCAGAAAATTTCCATTTCTGAGAGGAATTCAACGCAGTTCGAAAACGAACTACGTACTTACAAAAAGACACCAAGTAATTTAAAAAAATCGAGTTTATGAAAAATAGCCTAAGATAAGTGAATAATTCTTCTCATAGACTTTATGCGTTTTATGAAAAAGACGAGTAAATTTAGTTTTAGTTTATAACAATACTGAATTCTCACAAATCCTCTAAGCCTTTCCAGTGGTATTGGCGTGAAGAGATAGACGATTTTAACCACGCGGAGCGTCAAGGTTAGGGCCAGTTGGTATGGCTGAGTAAAGTATAACAAACGTCCGATGTTTGGCTAAGGATTGTGATTTACATAGTGTTGGCAAGTTGAGAGTCTCATAAATCAACTTTTATAAATAATCGCTAAGGTTTTTCAGATGAACTTATAAGTGATTGAATTACACAGAACCAGCAGAGGTTGTGAATCAACACTGTATTACAGAAACGCCACATATCGCGTGGCGGGTCAATTTTTATTATTATATTGACAAAGATGTAATCCTCTGCATAAAGATCTCTTAATCTTGGAACCAACTTGTGTCCTTACAGCACAAAGACTCAATTGTTCCAGAAGTACACCGTCACTTTAGGTCACTTTAAGTCATTTTATTGAGAGAATGAGCTTTTCACTTTTGAGCTCCCTATTTATGTCCAATAACCGCATGAAAATAATTTTTAGTACAGTTAATCTGGGAAATTTAAAGTCATC